ACCACACTGAGATTTTATTTTACTCCAGTCAGAATGGCAATTATCAAGAACACAAGTAACAATAAATGTTGGTGAGAATGTGAAGAAAAAGTACACTCATACATTCCTGGTGGGACTAAAAATTGGTGCAACCAGTCTGCAGAACAGTGTGGAGATTGACCCAGTTATTCCACTCCTCAGTATACACCCAAAGGACTTAAAATCAGCATACTATAGTAACGCAGCCACATCGATGTTAATAGCAGCTCAATTCACAATAACTAAGCTATGGAACCAACCTAGGTGCCCTTCAACAAATAAATGGATAAAGAAAATGTGGTATATATACACAATGGAATATTATTTAGCCATAAAGAAGAATGAAATTATGGCATTTTCCAGTAAATGGATGGATATGGAAACTGTCATGCTAAGTGAAATAAACTAATTTCCCAAAACCAAAGGGTGAATAGTCTCTATGATATACAAATGGTAACACACAATAAGGGGGTGCAGAGGGAAGGATAAAAGTTCATTGGATTAGACAAAAGGGAATGAAAGAAAGATGGGGAATGGGAATAGGAAAGACAGTAGAATGAATCTGACATAACTTTCCTTTGTTCATTATGAATACATGACCAGTGTAACTCCACATCATTTACAACTACAAGAATGGGAAGTTATATTCCACATATGTATGTCAAAATACACTCTATTGTCATGTATATCTAAAAATAACTTAAAAAAAGAAAAAAGAAAGAAACCTACTCTTTAGAGTTTTTGGACAATCAGCTATACTCCCCCTCTCCTGCTGCCTTATTGTTAATACCCCGCAGCTTCTTATCAGCATCTGATTCTTAGTCTTGCACCTCTGCTTTAAATCTTCTATTAACCACTTTTATGTCCACCTGGAAAACCAATTCCCCACTCTCCCCAGTGTTCCTCAAAATACTGTTCACCTCTACCAGAATCATCACAGATGTTTTGTAAAATGCAGATTCCAGGGTACTCTGAAAAAGAATATACAGGGGCAAGGTCCAAGAATCAAATGAAAACTGTCAGACTGGTCATTGAAACAAAATATATTTATATCCTATTTATAAGAGACACCATCAATATAAAGACATCAGAAATATGAAAGTGAAAAAATGGAAAAAGATTTGCAGCACAAATGCTAACTAACATAAATTGTTTTTGCTATTTTAATATCACAGAAGATAAACTTCAAGGTACAATGTATTACCAGGTATACACAGGGCCATATCACAATAATACACCATTAAATTCTTCAGGAAGTTTAAACAATCTTAAATTAGCATACATATAAGCTCAAAATACATAAACAAAAAACAGAATTAAAAAATGGACAAATCTATACTTATAGTAGGAGTTATAATACTCATTCCTTAGTAACTGATGAAACAGGCAGGCAGGAAAAAAAATCAATAGAGATATAGAACAATTAAACAAATAATTAACAATCTTGAGCTAATTGACATACTTAGAACACTGTACTCAACAAGCAAGACAAATTCTTTCAAAATCATAAATCACCACAACTAACACAAGAAAAAATACATTTTTCTAAATGTTATTGAAAAATTTCCCACATAGAAAAACTTAAGTTCAAATGGTTATACCTGTGAATTCAAATATCTAAGGAAAAAATAATACCAATCTTTTATAAACTCTTTTGGAGACAATATTCGTCAAGTATTTTTGTACATGTGTGATGCTGGGGATCAAACCCAGTGCCTCACATATGCTAGTCAAATGCTCTATTGCTGAGCCACAACTCCAGCCCTTGCCAACTTTTTAATAAGGCTAATATAATCCTGATATCAAAATTCTACAAGGAGGGCTGGGGTTGCGGCTCAGTGGTAGAGCGCTTGCCTAGGCTATGTGAAGCACTGGGTTCGATCCTCAGCACCACATAAAAATAAAATAAACAGAATAAAGATATAGTGTCCATCTACAAAAAACAACAACAACAAAATTCTACAGGAGATTATAGAAAGGACAATAACAGGCCAACCTTTCTCATGAATTTAGATGCAAAAAACTGAAAAAAAAAATAGGAAACTGGATCTAGTGATACATCAAAAGACAGGCTTATCAAGACCAAGTTGGATTTATTCCAGAATTGCAAGTTTGATTTAACATTTAAAAACCAACTAACATAATTTACCAAGACAAAAAAATTAACCAGGAAAATCATGATTATCATAACAATTCAACTGATAAAATTCAATACCCACTCATGATACAAACTTCTATCAAAATGGGACTAAAAGGAATTTCTTTAATAACTTGTACCTACAAAAAAATTTTACAGCAAACACTTTACTTCATGGTACAATTAAAAATTTCCCAAGATTGGAAATGAAACAAAGATGCATATTACTGACACTTTGATTTCACCTGGTACTGAGTTTTAGCTGACTCAATACTACAAAGGTAGGGGGCAAGGCAAAGGTGGAATATGTGCAGACTGGGCTCCAGGTGGGGGTAGGGTAAAGGGTAAAGGAAGGGACAAAATTTGACAAAAGTTCAATTTCAACTTCAAATTGTAAAGCACTAGAGTATAAGTGTGTATCTATTAAGCTTCTCTGATTCTCTTTATAAGCCTATAGACTAGATACAGCAGATACTGTTATTTACTTCTATTTTGTAGATGATGTAACTAAGCCTCAGGAAGTAAACTGATTAGTCCAAAGTCTCTCTTGAAGAAGCAAATGCAATTGACCCAGGGAGTGGTTGTTTACATCTAAGTTTCTTTTCAATGTGCCACACCTTTTGTAGAAAGGGACCTAGAAAAGTCTAAAGAAAAATTTTGTTCAGCATATGCTGTATGGTCTCCTAAACCTAAATAAAATTGCCATTGAATTCATGATCTAAAACTTCCATAAGAATTTAGAAACATGGTAGGCTAAAATAACACAGATAGGTTGATTTCCACTTCAAACTCATAGAAATGCTATAAAAATATTTTCAGAAAGATAAAGACAAAGAGAGATAAACTACCACAAAAGAAAGTCAAGAGAAAGAAAGGGATATCTCCAGAGGCTAGAAATGAAGACAGCACTTATATAAATATGAGTAAGAAACCAGAACTGAAACAAATTCAGATGTAGCTTCAGGGACTGGTGACTGGATTTTAGTGCCTGTCCAGGAATAGCAGACCCATTTTCCAGCTTTTAAGGCAAGCATGTGTACAGGTAAGTGATAAACCCTAAACTGTGGTTTCTTTCTTGAAATCTGGACTCTTGATGAGCTACCTAGTCAGTGAAAGAGACAGTTGGAAAAATTGTGTCTATAGATTCAGGGAAACAGAAAAAAACTTTTTGTCAAGGACTTCAGATGCGTGTGGTAGAGAACAGGCAAAAGGTCTAAAAGAAATGAAAATCGTAGGCCTGAGCTACAAATGGATGTTGGGGGAAATCTACATTATTTACATGACATGAAAACTGAGCTGAGAAATTATAAGAACCATGAACATTCCAGTGGGCCGTAGGAACAAAAGATATGAAAAGGCACTATACAAGGATAATTTTACAACATCTAAGAATTTAGAAACATGGTAGGACTTCAGCAGGATGAAGAAAAAAAAATTCTGCTGAAAATGTGAATATTTTCCAAGAATTACAAACAATACAAGGAGGTATATTTCTACAAAGTAGAGCAGTATATACAGCAAGTAGGAATCTTCTCCTATAGCTCCCCAAATAGTATAATCCAAAATATATACTATATAAACTATAAAGCAAGCATGTTGAAAATTATTACAATAAAAAGGGCAAACCACAGGGCTGTGACTCAGTGGTAGAGCAACTTGCCTTAGCATGTGTGAAGCACTGGGTTCAATTCTTAGCACTGCACATGAATAAAGTCCATATATATATATATATATATATATACATACATA